GGGGGGGGGAAGTGGCCCCCCCCCCCCCCCCGCCACACACACACACACTCCTGGGGAGCAGCAGCACTGCAGGGTGATGGATGGCAGTGATCTGTTCCCCACTGCTGCCCCAGTCATTCTTGACAAGCAATTCTCTAGTACTTTGATAATTTTCACTGGTTTTAACTGACAAGTTGCAAATAACTTTCCATGTAAGTTGTTCAACAGGGTTTCATTTGAACAGCGTATATCTCTCCAGCTGCTTTTGTACTGCTGCATAACCTGTATCAGTCTGTGTAAAGGTTCAGGCCCTAATCCTTCAAACAGTGGAACTCGAGCTGAATGTGTAAAACTTCTCATAGACCAGTGGTTCTCAACTTTTTTAGATTCAGAGCATCTCTTGGTAAGTTTTTAGAATTTGGTGTTCCCTGGTTGAGAACCCTTGTCATATTGGCTCAGTGGTTCTTAGCCAGAGTGATGTCGCTGAAGACAACTGCTGCAACTGTCTTGGATAGGGTAAGGAAGGGTTAGGATAGAAGGGCTGTTTTTTGCCATAGCAAAGACTGGGGGGAGGATGGCACTGATCTGACACCCTTCCTAAATTGGCACCCAGGGCTCATGTGCCTCTTGTCCCTACCTAGTTATGCTGCTGCACAGGAGTATGCCTTCCTGCCTGCATTAGGCTTATCTGATAAACCTAAAACAGGCAGAAGGGCCTGCTCTTGCCACATGCCTTCCCAGTTGAAACACGCCACACTCCTGCTGGAAACAGATGTGTGGGATAGTTCCATGTGCCTTGTGTGCCTCTGTTTCCAGGAGGAGCATGCTGAGTCAGACTAGAAAGGGCTGCCACAGGCCTTCCCAGATTGACTTTGCAGGAGGCGCACAGGCTGTTTCATCCAGTTGTAGCAGCAGTGGTGGCACTCATGCAAGACTCTTGTGGCATTCCTGTAGAGAGCCACTGCCAGAGAAATATATTTGCAGGAAGAAGGTCTAGATTTAGAAGACTGAGGATATTAAAATTAAAAAATGCCAGAGTTGAGAGATTGTGATGGGGACTCAGGATTTCCATGTTCTATTTCTGACTCATCCATTGATTTGCTGAGTGATTTGGGGCAAATTGTTTTGCCTCACTGTGACTTAGCTTCTGATCTGTAAAATGGGGATAATGATTTTTCATCATTAGAACAAGAAGCTCTCTGGAAGAAAAACACTTAGAAAAAATCCTTGGTATTTATAAGTAGAAAATACATCTAGGAAAAAAACTGATAATTGTAAGGTGTGCCCAGTTTGGGAAATATGGTTACAACTTTAAATATAGTTTGGCTGTTTTTCAATATGTTTACACTTGCAATTACCTATAACTGGTTTACTTTTTTTGGTAGGTTAATTTTATCTCATTCTTGTATTAGGACTGAAATTAATATCTTTTTAAGGTAGTGATCACATTGACTTCTAGTGGAACAATGGACACAACAAACATTTGGCACCTTGCATGATCAGGCCCTTTTTCCCAATGATATGCTAACAATACTGTAATGAAGGGTCCCAGTATATAATAGCTCTTCTGACTAATACTATGTCCCAAATGTGTGTGGCTGGAAATAAGCTATTAATTTGTTTTCTGATTAAATAAAGCCTACTTTCTCCCACTCACAATTGAGGAAGAAGAACAACAAGTTTATATTAAGCTTCCCTTTTGCAAGAAGCATTTTTGCTTTGTTCCTTTAAAAAAAAAAAAAAAAGTTTATTAATAAAAACTGAACACTGAGTTTTATTGAAGAGAATGAGGGAGTTGAGATTAAGATTTAGTAAGCAGAAATGGGCAACCTTATTTATTGAAAATGTGTTTGGTGCATTCTTGGTGCAAAACATCTGCTGTTAAATATTCATGAAAATTGTAATTGTCAGGTCATTCAGCTGGATCCAAAAAGGCAGTGACTTTCAGAGGCCAGGAATTCATTCACAAATGAGTGGCAAAATTTTGGCAAGAGGCTTTCAGTAGTCCCCAGCACTCATCCAGCACTTCAGGGGCTTTTGCATTTCAATTAAAATCATCTTAATGAGCCAATACTCTGTGGTTCAGTCCAACACAATAAATCAGACTTGGAGTAAGCACTTAGAACAGGGGCAGGCAATTATTTTGGGCAGAGGGCCACTTACTGAGTTTCAGCAAGCCATCGGGGGCTGCATGACAAGCAGCCCAGGGTAGATTAATATTAATTTTCTAAAATTTTTAGGGGCTCCACAGGCCAGATAGAATGGCCTGGTGGGCTGCATCCGGCCCCTGGGCTGCATTTTCTGCACCCCGACTTAAAATGATTCTCAAAGGTGCTGAATTTTCACAGCTCTCTTGAGATTTCTGGGTGCAATACTGCCTCTGGAAATTAGATTTCATAACTTAATTTTACGCCAATTTGTGTACTCCCAATGAATTGAAGCCAGTGGGAGCTAAGGGACTTGGGATTTTACAGGCAACCTTAAGCATCTTGTATGATTGGACCGTGTGGCAGGGAGGAAGCACCTACCACAACTAGAAATTTACTGAGAGCGCCAGAGCAGTCAAAGAGCCAGTCAGCATCCTCAGTGGCAAGGCTGGAAAAAGAACAAATGGCACCAGCATGGAAGCACTTCATGAGCGCATGCCGGTGTTGATTGAAGGGGTGGATTTGGCACGCCAACATGAAAATGGCCTGGAACTAAACAGCTGGGGAACTGGAAGTGAGTTCCCCACACTGAAGAGCAGCACACAACAAACGGTTGCCCTGACATGGGCAATTGGTGGAAGCCAGCACAGAGAAGCCTTTCTACTAAGGCTGGCTTGGAGGAGCCAGAAAATTTACCCAGAGAACCAACATGGCAGCCAGAGCCGAACGACCAGAACTGGAAAACAGAGAGCCCTGTAAGCGAGAGGGGAAAAAGGAGGACAGCAAAACCGTAAGGGAGCAATGAGCACAACTCATTGCATGCTCTGATCTTCTTTTTGGGACTGCCCTGAATAGCCATGCCTGTGTCTGGGCTATTGGACTTAATTATTGAGGGCTACAGCCCAGCATCTGCAGGCAACAGAGATACTGTACCAATAATTGTATTTAGAGTTGTTAAGGACTTTGACTGGAGCTATTTTGTTTACATGTTTCAGAAGAGATGCAGGCACTAGGTTGGCGCTAGGTAGGGTGTAGGGGAGGTGGAGCCCCAATTGACAAGGCCTGTGTGGCTGATGGGAGCTGAAGTTGTAGGGTGTAAGAACTCCCCCCCCCTTAACAAAATTTTAACACCAAAGTCGTGGCAGTAGAGAACAGTCGGCACCTTTTTGTTAGCCAGCATAGGAAGCCAAACTGTCACTCCAGAAGTGTACAGCAGTTGACCAGAGAAGGGCAAGAGGTTGGCCAGAGACTGACACAACTGATTTACAAATGGTTATTGAAAACGTTTTTGTCATGAAAAAGTTACAAAAGTGCCCTAAGCCAGGGGTGGATCCAGGAGGCATGCAGTTGATCTCCCTTTGATTCCTGGTCCATGCAAAATTTAAAACCAACTACCTGGCAGTAATAGCAGCACTTCTATTCAGGCAGCAATGTAGTAGTCACTTGACTTAATGGTCCATTATAATCTACCTGATTCCTTCTAAATTTTTCATTCCATAGGTGTTAACAACCC